CCAGTCCAGAATTCCAATTGGACCAGGGACTTTGCTACGACCTCTCGATTTTGTTGTGCCCCCATCAACACATTGGCACAGGAAATCTCAGCCCAATAGCATCCGTAGATTATGAGGTTGATGGGGGTCATCTATGTTGAGGCTGAACCTGCCTGAAGTAACAATGCAGCGGAATCATTCAAGGTCCAGTTGGTCTGGCAGTTGGTCCACCTTCATCCAGGCCTACTCTGCACTCCGGTTTTCATCGGTCAAAACGTCTGAAATCTGACACCGATTAGAAGCGTCAATTTTAATGGTTATGCAACTTGATGAACCCCAAAAACACTGCATGTTTTGCCTGCACCAGTTGCAAGTGCAGGCACATGGGCCATGGCAAAAGCGCATCTTTCGAGGTGCTACAGCTTTGATGATTCTGGTTGTGCAGCAATGTTGAGTCAACTCGCCTTTGGGTTGAAATGCTCGTCTGCCATGTGTGTCCTTTCCTCTCAGAGTGTGACCTTGCACCTGCCAATTCCCTGCTCGCACCTTGCATGCTTAGCTTTCCTGATTGGACAAGACTCGAATGTAAAAACCGTTCATCTCTGGAGCTCATGCCTCTTTAAATCTTTCGTGGCCCTTGGCCACACCTCCTCAGGAAATGTCTGTTTCGCCAGCCTATCTGCCTGCCAACATGGGAGCTGCGGCTATCAAACAATGCAACCTCCCCCCACATCTACCTTCCTGTGTGCATGAAAAGCTTGAGCCGCAAACACCACACCCACAGGCAAACCTACATCACCACTGGCTTTTGGAGGCTGGCTTGGTGTTCGAATCCTTATCCAGCTTTCGTAGTGGGGCCCGTTGCTTCAACGTCCATGTTGGTCTTCAGGCACAAGAAAAGATTGTTTGACTTCAATGAGGCAAACAATGCATGGAAACATGTGGAACATCTCCGTGCCATATCTGCAGTCTTGTCTTCGCATGTTGTTGTGGGGACTCAATGCAACAAAGTCCAGGCGTTCAACGTCTATGGTCACGTAGCCCTCACTGGAGCATCCATCGGGAAGTTTGAAAGCAGTCCAGGGCAGAGATAGATATTCCTTCTACAGCTACTTTTATCATTTATATATATATATATATATGATTACATATGTATATATTGTTAATGTTGCAAAAGCGCCATAGAGGTCCACCATGCCGATCCAGTCGCGACCCCATCCCACCTACAGCAGCAATGGACGACCTGAGCATAACGATCTTCAAAAAACATGGCCATGTGCGTTTCAGCTGCAACACCACAGCCATTTCACTTGAGGAAGCCCGTTGATCTCGAAGCAAGGCTTGCAGTATTGCATGAGGTCAATTCTCGGATCCCATGACCTTAATCGACAAGAGCTTTAATTTAAGACGAGACTCATCAAATCTCTCACCTCTCTGATCTTTTCGCTCGGTTCTCAGCTTCCAAGTAGGCGCTCTATTCACGGCTACGCACACCCAACTCAGTTGGTGACTGCGCCCTCAAAAATCTCAGAGGGGCAACCAACACAACGCCATGTTCGCAGTCGCGCCATGCTCCCAAAGTTGCGTGCACAAGGCACCTGCTGGCATTTGCCGCAACTCCTCGTGGTGAACCTGTCCTCATGCGTCCCACTGGCCCAATCGAAAGACTTCGGACCAAACGAGGCATGGAGGAGACTTGCTCAACAGGAATACAGGCGCTGCTCAACAGCTTGAGCGAGCTGGCTGGACCCTCACTGCACCCGCTGCGAAATGCCGCTGACTCGGTGTGGCAGCGGCTCCCCAAACACAGCACTGCAGCGAAAGCAACTTATGGACAGCGCAGCACTGCGCAAGTCACAGTGCCAAGGGCACCCCTCGCGTCGCCACAGCTTGTCAAAATTGGAACCGTGAATTCACTGGCATCTTTGGGTGGGGAATACCTGTGTTAGATGTTCAAAACCCCAAAAAAGAAAAGACCAAACTAGCTTCCATGTTTGGATGCGTCGCCTTTCACCAGCAAATATAGTGTTGAAATACTATAATAATACTATATAATTTGCTATCAGTGGCGGCCAGTGGCGACATAGGAGATGCCGACTACTACTACAATCGAAACAATTCAGCACCCACACACATCGACGACACCGCAGAAAGAGTCGCTTCTGGAAATGCCTCACCAAGCCATCATTTTGTTGTTTTTTTTGGGGGTCACAGCCCTCGAACAATCTTGAACAAGTCTTGAGAGCTTCATGAGTTGAGCTGCTCATAGTCTGGCCGACAAGAACCGACAGTTTGTATCCAAGGCCTGGCCAGTGGAGTAAACCGTTCTGGTTGACTTCTATGGAAGCTGGGAGGCTCTTCACTTGCATCCTCAATTTGTGGGATATAGAAACATACGTCTTATGAGCCAAGCATATCCAAGATGTCAACCCAATATTGGCACCTCATCATGCTACAGATTCAGCTGAAGATGGGACATGTCAACCTATGGCTGGCCTTCCCAGGCGGCAGCGGAGAAGCTCCGCAGCGCTGCGGTGGAGATGAAGCGTGTGTCAATGCGTCATAAAAATGCTGGCCCGTCAGTGCCATAGAACGGCTTCAAATAGCGTCCGGAAATCAGATTGTGCCCCCAGGCAACACTCAAGACTGTACCAGTGTTGCGAGTAATCTACCGTGGAAGAGTGGTCCAGAAATCGACCGGCGCGTTTCGCTGGGCATGGGTTGGCACCTCTCATGTTTCGGTTCATGCGGAGCAAAGATTCCACTGCACTTATCTTCAGCATCCACATGAGTGCTTCTGTCCTCCATGAAAATGATCATCTACAGGACTGATTCTACAACAAGTATTGTAGCTAAACCAGAAATACGTGGATGGGAGCGGTATGGGGGAGAGTGCTATGTCTTTAGATACTTTGTTAGTATGTGCTTCCTGCATCTACACTGTTCACGCTTCCAGCGCTTCATCCACTTTCGCATGTCCGTCCGTGATCTGCTCTTGCGGCTTCGATCATGCCATTCGACATAGACATTGACGTCGAGTCATTGACTTCAAGATTCAAGGCCAACGCTAGTAACAAGAAGCTAGTAGAAACAAGTGCCACGCTAGTAGTAACAGGTGCCTTACTAGTAGTAACATATTAGGTGGAGGCCATCGCTAGGTTGGAGGCGGACCATCGCTTTGCTATTGTTGGAAGCCATCGAGGTCAACCCACACTTCGGCGCCTGGGACTCATGAGGCCTGCCAGGCATCCGAAAACGGCAGCGGTGGCTGTCGGCTGCACGGCTCACGTGTGGCACGCTGGGGCAACAGGTGAGTCGCAGTGCCGCCTCACCTGGATGGAGTGTTTCCAGGCTGGATGGAAGAAATCTTCAGTCTTGATTCGTTCCAAGATGCCTGGAAAGGGTCACTGTATCCCGTTTGTTTGGCATATGGCATATGTTATTGAATTTGGAGATGGACATCAACCATTTGATCACCTGTCACGCACTTCTCTGGGTCTCGCTCGCTCTCTGGCCCCCCCGGCCCTTCTCTCTGCTCTCTGCTCTCCTCTCTCTCTCTATCTTGCATTTTTGCTCGTTAATTATACTATAATGCACTAATACATTAAATATAATTTGCGTATAATTATGTACAATAATTCCATATTACAGTATATACGTAGAAAAGCAAATCCCCACAAGAAATGTATCGGAAACTGTTGGAGACAGTTTCTGCCCAGATTTAAGGACGCGTACCTACTGTGGAAGTGGACAGTCATTTAAACAAAACAAACCGTGATCTTCTGCGTTTCTGTTGAAACTGTCCAGGTCCGTTATTTACTACCGTGTCCTGATTACATCTGATTGCTACACTCTACTCTACTCACTACTCTATCTACTCTTTTTCTCGGTGCTTTTCCAAGATGCAGGCGATGCCCCCCAGGGTACCCGGCATTTCCGGCACCCTGGTAGGGCAACTACTCTATCTCTCTCTCTCTCTCTCCCTCCCTCTCTCCCCATCTCTCTTTCTCTTTCTCTCTTTCTCTCTTTCTCTCTTTCTCTCTTTCTCTCTCTCTCTCTCTCTCTCTCCCCCCCTCTCTCTCTGGGTTTCGCTCTCTTGTTGCTTCATTGACGCACCCTATTGGCTTGGCACCTTCCCGCAGTCTTTTGCCCCCACAAGGCTGTTGATGCTTCCAAGCATCTGGAAGATCTCTGTAGCAGGGGGCCCGGCCGGACGTCGGACCCGGCGTCCATGCCCCTGAGAGCCGTTGATCGCCGCGAGCGGCCGCAGGCGGTGCGGAGCTGGAGACGGGACAAATTCCAAGACCTTGAAAGCATGTAAAGCTATTACGCTACTAGTAGCTAGGGCATTACTACTAGTAGCATAAAGCCAATCGATCATCAAAAGGCATATTCATTGCGTGCTCTTTTCCGTGCGATCCCAGGATCCCCCTGCAACAGCTCCTCAAACACAACAATTGCTTTCGGAAAGAAACATCTAGAGAAGAGTTCCACGTGGTTCCACCAACCCAGTCAGGTAGCCGCCCAACCTGGTTGGCCCACCGCACCTGCGAAGCTTCAGCTGCCTGCAAAGCGGTCCACGTTTTCGGGGCGAAAACGTTGGAGTGGCCTGCCACGCCTGTGAACAACACCAGGGGCCTGATCTTGATCTAACAAGTACATTGCGTCGCACCAGATAGTTGCACTTTGTAAAACAAATTCACCGTCAAATCAGCTGCTGTGGGGTGATGCCCCCGACTTTATCGAGTACCAAATCAAACCCGCAGGGAGCAAGAAGCTAATCTACCAACTCATCTGGTCACCGGCACTGTGGTCGGGCTCCGCTTTGGGATGCTTTCGTCTGACAAGATGGTCACATGTGCCGTGGACCACACCCTCTTGATCAACGACGCGGAAGGTGAATCAAGACAGGCAGCCAAATGTAACCATGTTTTGAATGTTCACCTTGCTTTGAGGGGCTTGAACTTTCTCTCTCCACCTTTTCTCCTCTCCGTTTTCAACACAAGACGAAAACGCACGGTCTGTGTTCCTCTCGTCTTGCCGGACATTGGTGAACCTGTGGCATGACCATGGGGAAGTCGAGGATTCTGCCCATGGGATCCAGGAGAACTGGGAGCCTCGGCTCAAAAGCAGCCGAAGGACGGCCACATACGGCCACAAAGGGGACATCTTCAAAGTGCCATCTGCAGCCATGCAAACTTACGCAAAGGGTCCCTATATGAGGCTAACCTTTGCTCAAGACAGGCCATCCCGGCCCCCAATCGCGGAACTCATCGAACAGCAGCTAAGGACATGGGCAATACAATGCACTACATGTCACCCATGGTCACCCATGGTCACCCATTCCATGGATTCCATGGTCACCCATTTCCTCACCCATTCGGATTGGAGATGCCGAGGTGCCATTCCCGCTCCATGGCGCGAGCCATGATGGGCGATCCCTGTAGGCGAACGATGTTGGGGTGTAGCCCCTGCACACGAGCAGGAGAGACCTCGCGGCACAGCAGGTCCAGTGGCACAGCTGGGCTGGGCGGCTGAGCTGGGCCGGTTCAGATGCTCGGATGGTGATGCTGCAAGGTATATCATTACAACAGTTTTGGAGGTTCTGGTCAAAAGAAATCGTGGGGTCCAGGGTTTGGGGTTGACACTGCTCTCAGCCAATTTCTTCTTAATTCCCGTGTCCAACCGGTGAATAGTGCAATTGGCATGCTACATTACCCCGCTGCAAAAGTAAACAGCCCAACTGGATGAGAATCCCAACACCGCCTGTCTGGAAGCTGCACTGAAAGTCAAAACCGAACGCAACCGACAATTACCAGTGTGACAGAAACCTTCCAACACTGCCCCTCAGAACCTTCGTCTCACTGGGTTCCATGACAGAATCATCTGCCATACCAATACCCTGGAGGGATTTCTTTTATGTCCTATACCGGCGTACCCACTCTGTGCCGCGGTGGAAGCCTGCACACTCTCCACAGGTGTTGCTCTTATCTTCTACCCTCCAATTGGCACCTCCAAGACCTTTTTGCTGTTGAACCCGGGCAACTTCTCGCCACCTCGGCCGGTTGGGTCATAGTTTGGGTCGCAGGCGCAAATCCTACAGCTGATGGGCTGGCAGCATCCAAAGAATCCTTGACCCAGTCTATGGATTGTGGAAGGGACGTTTCGATTCACAAAGTTGGTGAAACATCATGATCTGCTTTGACCACTGGAAGGCCCCAGTCATCCAAAACTCATCCAAAACATCAAATAAACAATGTTTCGATGATCATTGATCACTCATGACAACTCACGTACGCCAAGTAGGAATGGTCCAACAATTCCGATTGCCTTGGAGAAAGCGTGTGATGGATGGCATCTTAAAACACCTGAAAGGGGGATTTGATAGGGTTGGACAAATCAGAAAAAACAACAACAACTGAAATTGAAAAAATGTGGAATCACAGCAAAACTGCCAAGAAACATAAAACACACTCCCCTGTAAGTCCGCAAGCATCATGCAAAGTCCTAAAACAGCTCTATCATGCCCCCATCTAAAACCAGAGTTGGTTCGTGGTGGTTTGCAGCACTTTGGTACACTTCGTTGATCTAGTTTGTCCGTGAGATGCCGGCCCTCTGCCCACACGTCCAGACCTTCTGATCCAGAGTGGCTCTGACGACCATGGAACTCATCTCTAAAGCGAACCAAGGCTTTAGAGGTCCGGAAGTTCAAAAAGCAATAGCCCACATTGCACTTGTTCCTGCACGCTGGTCGAGTGTAGCCAACAATGCTTTGGCTGGCTCAGGGTCCCAAATCACTGAGATCAGCGTGACCACCAAAATGTGATTGGGTCCAATTTAGTCATGCCTTGAGTATTCCCAAAACTTGAGTGACCTTTTGTTTGGACAATCAACCACAACTTGCGGGTTCTGGATTTCTCTCCGAGTTGGGGCCTTCATGAGCCTCTCTGATTTGAAGAAACGCACCACCGGCCGCGTGACACAGAACTCCCGAGTCTTTGTGTCACCCCACAGCGGGAAGGCACAGGAGGGCAATGCCCAACTGGCTTGTTGCAGTTCAATGTTCCTGTTAGATCACGCATGAGGCGCAAAGGCTGAACCCATCCTGAAGTCGATGGGCAGGTAGAGGAAGTCAATATCACCCTTGTAGCCACACGTGTTCAAACGACTCACAAGCTTGTCGCGCATGTACCTCGGAGCACAGGGCCAGCAGTTTAGCAGCTTGAAACAAACACATCGCATGCAACGCATCTTGCTCTGACAAATGATTGTTTCCGATTCTGCACCAAAAGATATAGTTTCTACGCCCAAATGGTTTCAATCCCCCCCAAAAAAGACTTCAAGGTTGTTTGTCGCCGTTGGGAATGGGAGGGTGTGGATACCACTGTGGAAACCAATGAGCATCCTAGTGCTTACCATATCTATCATTATCTATCTATCTACCTACCTATCTATCTAATTGTCATCCATTTTCCATCTATCATCTCCTGTGCCCATGAACTGGCAAACAGTTTAATCCGTCAATAAGTTTAATCAATCCATCACCAACAAACAAAACAATCAATCAACACAAAATGTCCTGTCTAGATTCTAGATGACATAGAGAGGGATGGTGGTGTCCCCCCCAAACCCGTGTTTTAATGAAACGTTGACATTTTCAGTGTCTCCTCCCTTCGTCTCTCCAGGCTGAATGACTTGTTTGGAAGATTTCTCAGCATTGCAGTGGTATAGCCCATGCCCATCCAGCTGTCGCAGTCCTAGGCGAAGCAAAAGGCAAAGCTGAACAGTCCGTAACACGTTCAATATGTCGCTTTCAAGGGAGGCATGTGCCGCTTCCATTCTTTTTTTGTGGGTCATGGTTTAAAGTAGAATCAATAGAAGACTTCTATGCTCCGAAGCCCCTTGTCCGCTTGTCGGTGGCCAGTCACTTGGTACCAAATCGACCACGGGATCAGTGGGTCGCCATGTCTCCCCACCAACGGTGTGAAGCTCACCTAGCTCAGCCATGCTCAGCCCATTGGAATACTCCGACACAACATGTGCAAGCCATCTCCATCTTCTTGGCTTTGTGGTTCTGAAGAGGCCACCCTCCCGTACCTTTCAATCAAAAAGCTTGTGTTGCATGCTGTCGGATGATCAGACTCAGGGGGGTAATCCTCTCAAGCCTCTCACAGAAAAACATCCTGTCCTAGGGGGTCCACCGGACGGCCGAATCTTCTCGTGCGGTTGATCACCACTGCATGGAACATCATGACCCAGATGTGCACATGGAGGGCCAGTGCAAAACACCAGAAACGCTGAATCTCGCGCCCCGAAACTCCCTCGAGCTCTGGTTTCTGTCCAAGTGAGTGCTGCCAACCAACAAAAACCTGCCGCATGCAAAATGCAACTGCGACACTTCTGGGCTCGACTCCTGCAGCAAGCTCTCCACCATCTGTCGGAAATGCGACACGTCCTCCTCGGCATAAACGTCCTTCACCTCAAACAATTGCAAACATGCGGCACATCGTCTGTGCCAATAGATCCACATCCACCCATCTTCCACCATCCCCACAACTTCCGCCCTTCTCCTAACAAACCAACCTGAGCTGATCACTCCTTTGGCTCCCAGCCTGATGCATCTCCCAGCCGAAGGCCTTTGGATCTTCCACCGCATCCGGCAGCCCTGGGTGGGTTTCAAACGCTCCGAGGATGGAGCATGTGAACAAGTGGTCTGGTGTTATCTATTTACGTACTCTGTTTCTTGGCACTTAAAGGGCTCACATGGTGGCCTTGAGGGGGGGAATGGATTCATCGAAACTCTGCACGGTGGACTGGTTCCCCTTGCAGGTTTGCACCGGGCTTGGTAAACATGGATTTGGGCATAGTTCTTACAGAAGTATGGCTCTCATACTTAGGACTTAGGTCTCCGGAGCTTCTTGTTCCCTCTCTCTGTCTCTACTCGTTTGCCCTCTTCACTAGCTCGCTGCTTGATGCTTGGGCCTGAGTCTGAACACATCTGTTTTGAGAGATCAGTCGATGTAAATGCACAGTAGGGCACCAAATGTTGATGCATCTTTAACCCTTCAAACACCAAAGCGCATGCAAGGAGAGTTTCACAAGGACTGAAGTATATAAAAGCTCAAGCCAGACTCCTTCACTAGTGGAAATGGCTGTCCCCCTGCTGCGCCTGGACATGGGTCAAATCTAAAGCACCCGACACCAAATCCTTCAGTCTTTTCATGTCTTCCCCTCTAGAAACCATAGCCCCTCTGGCAACCTCTGGTCAAAAGGCGCATACTATTGGGTCCAAGTGGCGGAAGCTCGGTTGGTCTGGCTTTTGTTGCTCCTCCCACATGTCCCACTCACGCCTCAGGCGGGTCCAGAATGTTGTGGATGATGGATGCATGACGTTGAATGACTTTACCAAGAAGTGGGAGGTTATTTTCTTAGCCGAAGGGGCTCAAGCCTCCCAATCTGATTCTTAGTTCAACCTGCAACTGGTTTGTCTTGCTTTCCCCATTGCATACAGGCATTTCCCTGCAACACGCTGCACGTCACCAACTCAGAAATAAAACATGCATCTGTTGCAAAACCCGGTGTTCTTTGTTCTTCAGGTCATTCTTCACATCATTTCTTTTGGCGTCCATCTACCCGGAATCACACAGCCTTCGCCCTGGAGGGGCTCCTTCGTGCGGACCCCCTCCAGTGCTCGGCTCCTTCCGTCGAGGAGCTTCAGGAGATCCTCGTCCTCCACCTCTGCGGTCAGCTCCGGTGTTGGCCAACCTGCCGTGTTGGCTCGTGACAGGTCGGTGCGGTTCGGGCCGACCTGAAGGCCGAGGGCCCATTGTGCCCAGTCAGAGTCCTCCGTCCGAAACCTACTCAAACACCCCGTCCCCAAAACACAAAACACAACAACCAAACACAAAGAAGCTTCATCAAAGTCCTCCAAAAAGGTTCTTTCAACATTCTTCCTTCACCATCTCCAAAGCCCCTGTAGGCTATGTGACGCAAACGCAGCCGACCCTTTCCGGGGGTCGATCCTGTGGAGCAGTGATAGATATCACCCATCCTCAGATCCAGCACGGTGCCTCAAAAATCGATGAACAAAACAACACACGCAAAGGGAATGAGACCCAATGACTCCGTGTAGGTCATCCTAGAACATCAAGAGTGCTGGCACCCCGAAGTCTGTAGCAGCTTGAAATAGAGATCTATAAACATAGTGTTCAAAATCTTTTGGGACATCCAATTTCGTGGTGCACGCACACGGTAGTGCTCCCAGCTGGCTGAACGAGCCATGGGGCAGCATGCGTTTGCATACATGTAGAATTCCCACAATACCAAAGGAGGTTGAGAGACTGAGATACCCGGGACCCCTGCGGCAGGAGTTATGGGATAGGCTAGCCGCAGCCTGCAGGTAAAAAGGTTCTGCTCGATGCATCTCGATGCATGGTTTTCGGAATCACTTTGGCTGGACAACAAAGTTAAAAAGTACTGGAATCGATTTTGAACTGGAATTCACGCTGCTTCTCTACATCTTACCATGTTGCGTGCAGGCATCCATCCATCAACCACCGCATTCATTGGAAGCACTCGCGCCATGAATCGGCGGGGGGCTGTGGAATCCCTGCCACTGTTGGGCGGGAGGAAGCAAAAAATGCTGCACCGTCCGCCTTTGCGAAGAATCGTCCGCCCAAGAAGCCCTCAAAAGAGCCGTAGATCAATGACTCGATGAGTGTTGTCGAGGTTCATACCGTATGAGAGTGAAGGACCTACATACAAGTACGTGACGTTTCTTTTCTTAGAGCCTTCTGTGGTTGTATGTGCTTGCGTGCCATGGGTGGCAAGCACTTAAACATTGTACTCGAGTTACAGGTGCACCTATGCAACCAACAGCTGCCCACACGTTGAATCTCATCTCACACAGGGGCAAGACGAACTCCCCTCTAGTTTCTACACCCCCTCAAACAAATGAACCAGAATTCTGGTTGATTCTGCTGAAAACAAAGGTATCTGACGCTTTATGGGTTTTGGGGGGCCCTGAGCCAGCGGGTGGCCATGGGTGACACCCGCTCTGATCTGCTCTGCTTTCTTCTGATTCCACGCGTTCGGAGCTCTCCAGGCGCCGTTTCAGCACCGGCAAGGAGGTGGTGGCCTCTTCCACGAAGGCCCGCTTTCGGGCCACCTGCCAAGTCGGACGCTTTCGTGCCGGAAATCGACAGCGTGTGCAAACATGTACACTCCCGAAAACTAACATAGACCCTGACAATGGTCCCATGATGTCCCACGGAAGACTATTTTCCTCTACCAACCAGGGGTGTTCAGGTTCCATGTTAGTCTTCCAGGGTGTAGATCCTTGATGGATCAACTTGGCTGCATCAAACAGGAACCTAAAATCTTAGGAACCAATCGGTGGTTGGTTCACACAAGGGCACTGCTGAAAAAGGATCGGCTTCAAGCCTCCCTGCACTTGCTCTTATGGCTTTGTGGGTTTTTATGCTAAGTACCATGCAGTTGTGTTGCTGATTGTCCTAGCTTAGCCGATAAGATCAATAGCTTAATCCTCACACATCGCATAACCTCACGAAGTCCATGATCCTTTTGATTGATTAAGCTCCCAAATATCTTTGAGTGGTGCATGTCCTCCCTCAGCTCCCCACTCCGCAACTGTCGACGTCATTGGTGCCCAATGCGTCCAGGTCACTTGCTCTCGAAGCTCTTGCAGCACCAAGGCCTTTGCCTCACGATCGCGCAGAATGGTGAGGATCCCCGCGATGTTCTTGCAAACGTTGCCTCCGTCCGGCGCGCCGATCCGAATCCATGGGAATCCGGAGAAATGGTTCATTCCATGTTACAAACGTTTAAAGGGCTACTAAAAGCACTTGAGTGTGCAAAGGCTGCCGCTGCAGCCGCCGAGAAAGTCTGCAGCTTTGCCAATGGGATCTATGAAGGAAAGATGCGAAAAATACACCTCTGGTCCAGCGGTCCTGGATGCGTACCTGCATCACTACCGGCACCTTATCACAACACCAAGCATTGTTCCCTCAATGGTGCCATCCACTGACGGCTGCTTCCCCGCCCATATCAACGCACCAATTGTCAAAAGCATTGCGCCCAAGAACAAAAACATCAAAACTGCTCCAAACGCGGTGCGGCTTCTTGCACACATCTCATCTGCCGCATATCGTATCCGTCATGCAGGCCAAGATGATTGACACCCACACGTCCATTCCCATTACGATCCCAAGCGCCGTACCGCCGGAGGCGCTGCTGCGCGAGCTCGGCGCCGCCCACCGACGTGGACGAGGACGAACCGCTGTGGGCGAAGGCTTCCAGGAGTTCCAGGCTGGAGCTCTGCAGCATGCCCTGCATTTCGCCACCCCCAAGAACCGTTGATTCATGTTGATCGCTAGTAGGTTGGAGACCATCGCTACTAGCGTGGAGGCCATTGCTATTAGGTTGGAGGCCATCGCTAGTAGGTTGGAGGCCATCGCAATCAAAGGATTCATGAAGGGGTGGCATTTTGCACCAGAAGAGAACATCTAGGAACTCTAGTGCATCACTTGCAAAGCAAATTGGGACGAATTCCTAAAATGGTTGCTCTCAGGGAAGGGGCAGAAAACCCAGTGTAAATCCTGCAAGCCTGCCCTAGATAGATGTCAATATAAATAGAGTTGTGTGTCTTGGGATTCTATCCCCAAACAGCTCATCAAACCTCAACAGAAAAGTGAGCCAAAAACAAAACAATCAAATTCTGATCATGTGTTTGGGTAGCGGGTGGAAACATGATCAGTGACATCTTTTGAGCCATGCTGATCAGATTGTGGCAAGTGACGTTTGTCACAGCATGTTAAAGCCAGAACACTTGAAAATTGGTTGCCTTGAAAGGCAGTGTTCTGAAAAAGCACCAACTTTGCGCATGTGCCATGTGCACAATAAAAACCACCCATGTTGGCCGGACTCTCCACAACACGTTTCCAGGTTCAATGTCCTTGCAATCCGCAAGCGCATGGGCCCTGATCTCCAGGTTGGGCCCATCTTGGCATTTAGATGCATCTGCTGTGGCAGTGTTGTTGGCACAGGTGTGTACAGCTTGATAGATTATGAACTACAACGAAGAAAACTAGCTTAATCATTTTGAACCACCTCCTACAGACTGTCTTGGTGTCCAAAGTGGCTTGGCTTCCATCCACATATATAGTTTCACTATGGAAGACCTTTGGAACACAAACGGCTTGGGCAGGGTGCCATAGTGACCTTTGGCTCCACATAAGGTGAGTTTCAGAGCTCTGGGCTCAGTCTCTCAACGAACAACTCGCGGACATTTCCCCAGAACTCGCGGATATCCCAGTCGACTCGCTGCACCTGGAGCCTCAGCAGCTCAGCTTTGAGGTCTGCAGCGTCCGGGTTGCAAAGCCATTCCTCCGCATCTAAGACGCTCTGCCGAGGGGCCAGCGTCAAGGCCTCGCCAAAGACCTTGGAGCGACGCGTGCATCTTCGTGCCCAGCAGGGGTAAGTCATACAGCAAAGCAAACACCAAACACTCCATGGGACTGGCATATTTACATTTTACATACATTGACCCCACCACCCCCAATTTTATGTAGTATATAAACCACCCAAAAATATATGTGTATATATAAGTATATATACAGTAATATAGATATATATATATATATGTAATCATACATGAAGTGCCTGTGTCCTGGGTGCCTTGGATTTGATGCCGGGGATTCCATCGACTCCACTCACATACTCAGACCCTTCTGCTCATGGCTGCGGTTGCAATGGCTATAGCCCCAAAACGAGCCGGTATGGTGTCGGAGGATAGGTTTGGTAGTTCTCCTGGTTGGCCAAATCCTCTGTGAGCTGAGAATGTCCCTTTGAAAACACCTGGAGTCTTTCCCGAGGAGCGAGCTCCTATGCGCTCCTACTATTGAATCATTGGGTGCAGCATAGTGCAGCTGGCTTGATAGATAATGGCACAACATCCCCTAATTACAAGTACAGTAAGTCTTGCAGCCAAACCTTCCACCAATCCATCCCTTCAGGCTGCCAGGCCACATAGACCTCTCCCGTCTTCGGCGGCAATGGAGGCGCCACCCGCACTGACGACAGTGCTCGCCCATCGGGCGCAGGCGTGGCACGAAAGAGGTGCCAGTGGGGCGGCGGTGGGGGAAAGCCCCGAAAGTCGCCAGGCCTTGTCGCTGTCGGAGCGGGCGGAGGAAGGAGAGCGGTCGATTGGGCCGGGAGCGGTCTTTGGGATGCGCCTGAACATGAGTGTGCGTGACATTTCTGTGAAAACCCGGCTGCAGTGTCTCAGAATCTGCAGAAACCCAAAGGTATACAGGGCAAATGGTGGACTATACGTTAAAGGTGCTGACTAGTGGTGGCTTTGCAGGAAAACTGAAACCAGGGAACTGGTTTCTTCCCGTTCAAGTCCAGAATCTCTTAACAAATCTGCATCCGGCACGCAACCTGGGAGGCAGTCCCAAAACGCGCACTTTTTGACTCCAGTGCTGCCACAGTTGGGATCTCATTCTTTTTCGTCATGTTGGTCAAATGGCTAGGTCATGCGTGGGGTCTCCAGTTTCCGTCTCCATTCCCACACCGCTCCGAGCGTCGAGATCTGTCAGTGCGGCCAGGTCTCAATTGGCCGGCCATGCGCTGTGAGCCCGTACAAAAGAGCCATCAATGCTGCGAGGATTTCGGTGCGAAGCACCAGCCACCAAAGGCCGGTTTCCACCCCATCCGTGGCCCGTGGTGCCTTTTGGGACCACCAGGTTGGAACTCTTCGTTGTTGGATAGCTTTGGGTGAAGAAATGTGATCAAATCCCTAAGTTGTATGATGGCGTGGGGTCTTCTTCCATGCGACGAACAAACCTGAAAAAAGAACACAAAAGGTTACTTCAAAGATTCTAAAAGTCTTGCAAGTGGTCGGAGTGAAATTCGCTGCCTAGGCTCCAGTGGGTGATTTTGATAACTATAACGTAGGAACCAAGTCCAAGTATATAGCTAAAACTATTTCAAAATACCTAAGACTTCGAACATCTGTCTTTTTATTGTCTTTTCACAAA